AAAATCTAGTTGGGGAGAGTTTGTTAAGTGCAAATTTTGACTTAAATTGAACCATCTTTCTTAGCATTTTTCAACTAAATTTTCATGTTTTAATAGATTTATTTCTTATTCTTGTGGGATTCTTCAATTATATTTTAAATATCTTTGGATTCTTTGATGTGTATGTGTGTGTTATTGTGTAGAATATATGCATAAAACATCAATGATTAAGACACAAATGATTGGACAAGGAAGCCAAAGAAGAAAAGAGGAATAAGCATATTCGATGTGCGAGCACCAGCGAAGCGAATGCTTGCTGTGCGAGGTCCTGACGAAGCCTCAATGAACCAACCCAGATTAGAGGCAGTAGGAAAATGACTCAAAGTTCGATGGGCGAAGCTGTAGCGAAGCAGTTCGCTGTGCGAAGAAGTGTTCGCACTGCAAACTCAAATATTTTCCAAGGACAATTTAACTGATCCTGAGGCACTTGAAGTTCCCAAAAGCGGCGTTCTCTAGGCGAACAAGACATATTTTTGTTTTTCCTATATATGTACTTTTCTCACTTTTTAGAAACTTTATTGTATATTTTGAGGATTAGAACTGTATCTCTCTTCATTTCTTTGCATATTCTAGAGAGAGAAACACAAATCCTAAGAGGGAAGAGGTAAGAGCTTCGGTCTCTTGTTGGATTTGAATGTAATCTTTTGATACCTTATGTATTTCATCTAATATATGTATTGTAAACTAGTTTGGATTCAATATTGATGTTGTCTTTGATTTTTTATTTGTGGGTCTTGACAAAACTTTTTTCAAAGCCTAGGTCTAAGATATTCATCTATCAATGAGTAAACTTTTGACATGGTCTTATAAGTTGATATTCACTTGTATCTTCTATTTTATTATGCTGATTAGTAGCATGAGTAGGATCGATACGGTGAGGATGCACGATAATAGAGATGAAGAACTATGTTCACTTACATTTGGCAAATTAGTTGAATGCGTGTAAAAAAGGTTAAGTGTATGTATGTATTCTGATCATGCCGTTTTATATGAATCAATCATGAAGTTGATATGGATGTCATCTTTGTTTACCTGTTTACCTTTTATTTGAACCGTTATAGAAATATATTCTTCAGATTTGGATCTAAGATGATTATTTGTTAAGTTCTAGACTCTAGACATAGATTTAGGCTTAACATTTGCTTGAGTATTAATTCTTAATGCTCTGTTGTTGAGTTGCGTGAGACATCACCAATGAGACAATATGGTTGTTATCTCGACGTTGCGTTAGACATAACCTCTCTTGTGGGTGATACGTAAGGATATCAGATGAACGGTTGGTTTGTGTTTAACTGGTTAGAAGAATGCATGTGTTATCAATTGATAAGATTCAATCTCAATAAGGCTCCGTTTATATTTTTAGTCTTTACTTTATATTTCTCGTCTTTATATTTTCCGCTTTTATCTATTGTATCTTGAATTTTTCAACCATTTTATAACCATAAGCTTAGAAATATAGAGACCGTTGAACGACGTTCTTTCCCTCGCACCGATCCCCGTGGAGACGATATAAATCTCTGAAGGAATCTTTTCAAATCTAAATTTTTGCTTCTTGCCGCTTTATTGCAATTCAAACACATACCTAATAATTTATGTTTGTTTGTATTTTTTTTTATTTATTTTCGAAACAAATTATGCATGAATCGGTACATTATGAATTTAGTTTGATAATGTATTAGTTATTTTAATTTATGTATAGTATGTTTGATTCAATTTATAACACTTAAATGGTTTTATGGGGAAAAAAATTGGCTAGAAATGACCTAAATATAAGTTGACCTATAAAAGGATCAAAGTTAGGACAATGTTGTTAGCTAAAATATATTGAGAATATTTTCGGAGATGTATATGTGAAATATTCTATGTCATGTACAATAAACACGCTTCTAATAATTTAAAATAAATTCAAGAGTTACAGAAATACATTGCGGATTTACTCTAAAAAATTTATGGATATAGATCTCCAGACTAGATTTTAGCAAAATTGAAATGAGTGATTGGATTAAGATGGTTGATGCAACGTTAGATACGTCCGAAAATGGTTATCCTAGCATCAATAAGAATATTTTTTAGTTTTGAAAAACAAAATTGTAAACAAACTCCATAAAATGAAATGAATATTTTCTTAATAATATATCGGGTAGAAGTAAGGAAAAAGCTACTATGACACACAAAACATGTGAACTTAAAATAACAATCATGAATTAAATTTGTAACAAGTGAAAATGTTGGTATCTTATTCACCTCTTGAAACCATCTTTTAATGAAGTTATATTGAGATAAATGTTATTTGGACATCGTTTTAGCTTATCCAATATCATATTCTTATACATTTTGGTATTAGTGTATTGTTTTTTTACTATTAATTTCTCTTTTTTCTTTATCACATTAGTAATTACAAATAATATATTTGTATATGGTATTGGAATATGGTATTAATATTAGTTATAAATGTTATATGTCTATGTAGTCTTTAAATACGGTGTTAATATATGATAATTCAAATAACATACTCTTATATTGATGTCCATTATTCATTTGAGTCGAGTGTGACCAGCTACCAAAATTGCAGACAGAGAATCAAAAAGCAAAATCAATATTCGTCGAATTTTGAGGTTGCTTCAACTCCTCAATCTCATATTAAAAGAGAAAGCGCAGTGGAATGAAGAGTGCGAGAGCGACATGGCCAGAGAGAACTGCCTTTGGAATTTTTCCTCCAACAATACTACTCTCTTTCTTTGCTTTTTCAATCTTGCCATCGTTGCTCTCTTCGTTTTTCACTCTCTTTATGCTTCTCTTTCTTTTCACTCTAACAACGTTTCCTCTAAAGGTAAGTTAACTAACACCAATCTTCTCACAAATCATAAGAGTTTTTCTTTCCTTCAAGATAAACTGTTTCTTGTGTTTTCAGTTGTTGTATCTTATAGCCCGGATCAGATTCGGAAAATGGAAGAATCAGTACAAATCCGCATGGAATATAAACCAGCAGAGTTAATTGAATCGGTAAGAACTAACATTAAGAACTAACAGCACTTTAGTTAAACCGGTTAATTGATGTTTGAGAAATCAATCAGATGAAGGCTTTAGAAAGAGAATTTTCAATAGAGAATTCGGTGGTTGAGTTGCCGCAGAATATGAAGCAGAAAATAGTTGATGAGCTTTTGTATAGACTAAGGAGCTTGAATTCCAGTAGCACTGATATTGCTAAGGAACCAGGTTAGTGTGTATAGAAACTAATCCCATGCTTATTTGCATTTCATTTTAGCTCATTAAGTACATCTTAACTCGAAATTGCAAACATCGGTTCTCTTGGATCATATGATGTTTTCGAAAATACAGAAGTTATTGAAAGTTGGCGCAAGGAAAAACTCGAAGAGGTTAGGTTGGCTCATGTGAAGGGGAGTTCTAACTCTACCATCTCTCATGAAGAGAATGGTATGAACATTGATTTTGTTATGTCTGTGACAGTTGAATGTGTGATGTGTTTAAACATAATGATCTTTCATTGAGAAATTTCCATGAGCTGATCCAAAACAGATCATTGTATTTCAATTTTCTAGATATGCTATTAAGAGCTTTGGAGTTTGATTGGGATGTGTTTTGCGAAGAGCTTGGCCTTTGGATACCTGCTCAAATCGTTAACGAAGAACATGATGCCAAACCTGAGGGGAGAGAGGATTTCGGTAATATCAGTTTCTTTAGTCAAAATAGTTTCTTCCTGCTTCCCTAGTCTGAACTGCCTTAATTGAAAGTAACCTAACAGATTCATGGAATGAGTAGACATGATATTATATGATAGAAACTAGAAGTAGCATGCATCTATATTTTTGGTTGCAGAATCTTCTTTGCATTTACTAACTATTAATTCTTTCCAGAGGAGGAGAAGGTTCTTCCTGGCAGGCCCGTTCCATCTGAGTGTAATGCAGAACTCCACACCGATTATGATGGTACTGCAGTAAGATGGGGTCTTACCCACCACAAAGATAGTGCAGCTGAATGCTGTCGGGCTTGCTTGGATCATGCAAGATTTGCTAAAGAGGGTGAAAAGAAATGCAATATTTGGGTTTATTGTCCATCTGAGTTTGGGTGTCATTCTCCAGACATTTATCAACACAAACATCAAGAATGCTGGCTGAAATATGTAAGTTTCCTAATGTTTCACTAGGTTGACTCTTTTCTGTGTATTTGCATAATAGCTTTTGATATTTTTTGAGTTCAGGATGAGAAACCTCGACTAAATTATAAAGACAAGTATCCTGAATCATATCGAAATTCATACCCGTCGGCACCAGTAGTTGTTCCATGGGTCTCTGGAGTTGTTAGCTTATGAGCCAAGTAACCAACACCGGGATAACCCAACTAGGGCTACCTTTTATACAGCAAGGGCGCAAAGCTAGCTCAAGCAAAGCTTTCATGATTGTCTAACCTTGCTGTGGCTAACACTATTACAATGTTCTACCAAAATATTGATATTGTTATGTTTTTTCAAACACAAATAGAACAGTAAATGCAACCATGGCATGATTGAAATAATGAAAATCACTGAACAACTGTCTCAAAAGAAACTCAAATGTAAATAACATTATCGAATAAGATATTTTAAAATAAATTAAAGCCAAAAAACAAAGGCCAGCACAAATAGTAGTAATCACGAAGGAATGAAATCATGTGGTACTTTCATTATTCAACTATATTATTGACAAAGAATGCTAAAATAGACTGGCAAATGTTATCAATCATTGTTGCATTTTGAAAGGGATCCCTCTCAATGCCTTAAACAGCAGTGTGCAGCAAATATTTGAATGCTTACGCATTTCTTGTCTGGTTGTACTGTCACACGTAGATGCTTTATCCACTTAGTTGAGGTAATCATATTCCTCTGGAAAATTTGGGGAAATAAAAGGAAACTGACTGAAACAAAATTATAATAAACAATTTCCTTGCGGACTTGAAAGCAAAAATCAAAGATGATCAATAATTGCTTTTGTAAACTCAGTTGTCTGTGAAGTGCCACCAAGATCAGCAGTTCGGTATTTCCCTTCTGCAATTGTGCCGAGGATGGCATTTTGAATTCGGTCTGCTTTATCGTGGAGATCGATATGGCGCAACATAGTAACAGAACTTAGCAGCAAAGCAGTTGGATTAGCCAAATTCTGCATAATCCACAGGAAAACAGGTGTAATTTGATTAAGGGAGGTGTTTCAAATAACTTTATCGGAAAATTATAATTAGAATCTTATTCTCGGGTAACTTTTAAAAAATATGTTTGCGGCATTTGCGATTTCTACTTTCTTGAGCTGGTAGTTCTACCCTATGCCTTACATTACAAAGAGCATATGTGTCACAAGTACAAAACATGCACTAGAAAAACTATACATTCCATGAAAACAAGCAAAGAGGTTTAGAACAGAAAATATATGGTTTTAAATAGTACTTCCACAGCTCACCTTCCCGGCAATATCAGGTGCTGAACCATGTACAGCCTCAGCAAGTGCAATACCTTCCTCGCCAATGTTGCAGCTGCAAAATACAGGATATCCTGTCAGATGATACATTTGTCACTACTAAACTTCTTTGCCCAAAACTCAAAACAAAACAAAGAAAAACCTGGGTGTCAAGCCTAATCCTCCAATCAAGCCAGCACAAAGGTCACTGATTATGTCACCATAAAGGTTAGGCATCACCAACACATCAAAAAGTGCAGGATTTTTCACAAGCTGCAGATGGTCCAAAATTAACAGTGTATTATTTTCAGATATACAAAGAATTTCAAAATGTGGCTCCACTCCCTACATCAAGTTGACCAATATTACCATCATGCAGCAATTGTCAATGACAACTTCCTCATACACTATCTCTGGATATTTCTCAGCAACCTCACGGCAACACTAAAAATAATTCAAAATAAAATAACAGTATTAGTATTCAAGAATATAATTAGAGACCGAATATTTATAGCCATTTTCTATTAACAGACCTTCAGGAAAAGACCATCAGTCTTTTGCATAATATTGGCTTTGTGTATAGCAGACACTCTTTCTCTTCCATGTGCCTTGGCATAGTGAAAAGCATACTCAGCCACCCTTAAACTTGCATGGCGCGTAATGATTTTGAGACTCTCTACTACACCCCTCACAACCTGTAGCCCAAAAGTGCTAAATAAGTTACATTGATTGGAATTTGAATGATAATATATAATATTGATTGCCGTGATGTGATAAATACCTGATGTTCAAGTCCACTGTACTCGCCTTCCGTATTTTCACGAATTGTGACAAGATCTACATTATCATATCGAGTTTTATAGCCAGGAAGGCTGTAACAAGGTCGAACATTTGCATATAAATTAAGTTCTTTTCTGAGAGTAAGGTTTAATGAACGATGCCCTTTTCCAATAGGGGTGGCCATTGGCCCTTTCAAGCCAATCCCATTTCTCCTTACCGATTCTAAACTTTCCCATGTAAGAAAGCTCTGTGTTCTAGGGTCAACTTCGGTCCCTACATAATGCTCTTCCCATTCAATTGGAACTTCAGCAGCTTGGAATACCTAATTATTGCAATAGTAAGAAACTAAAGAATTGACAGCGCATTAAATTTGATTCAACAAAGAGAGTAAATTATTATTATGAATATTCAAGTATATATAATACATAATAAGAACCAAACAAAGCAAGAGATAAAGAAGAATGAAGTATCCCCAACATTAGCAAGTGACAAGTGACCATTTTCGGCAGCAAAGCAGACTCAAAATCTATGGCAATGGAAGAAAAGTGAAGGGAAATGAATTACTATGAAAAGGAACATAAGCAAGAACCCTCGTAACCCATAGCAGAGTTCTTCAGACAGAAACTATAGTCACTGGTACCCACTAGCGACAATCTTTCTAACTTACTCATCCTACTCACTACTCTTATCATACCCTTCTTACTCATGTATTCATCTACATTTGTAACTAATTGGACCTCTCAGACAAAAGATGAAACTGAATCAATTTGTGCTTATAAAGAAAATGTTTAAACTTCAACTGAAAATGTTAGTTAGGTTAAATATAACATTAGACATTGAAATAAAGCCAAAACAAACATGTAAAATGTTTGTTGTCTTTTTACCTTGCAATAACATTGCCAGACAACCATATATACATGTCATTCAGCACAATTGCATTATCACACATCATACAAGTCATTTTCATATCTATGCCATCATCATGTTTGGTTTCTCCATTTGGAAGAGTCAAAAGTAATTCTAGAGATACAAAATTTATTTTGAATTGATTTTGACATGTTTGTTTTCTCAAAAGTAGAATTGATTATGCTTCCAGAATTGATTCTAGTTGAAGCCAAGATTTGTAGCTTTTGAGTTTTACACTAAAATTTGTTGTTCAACTAACTTTTACATAAAAGCATACAAACATAAATCACTTTCCATTCAACTGGCTTTTAACCAAAATCAATTCTCTTCCCCGCAGAATCAAACACACTCATAATTCATTAGCCATAGCGTCCCCTCTTACTCTAGTAAGCTTATCTGAGTACCAACATCTTTCGCACCCCTTTCTATTGATACCAATAAACCATATAAACTGAAGGCAACTGTAGCCAAAGATGGCATTTATATGACATGGTAAAGACATGCTACCACCATGCCGTTTGCAATGTTTTTTTAATATAAAATAAACACAGTTTTAACTTCAATGTTTAAGTCACTGGGAACAATTAAAATTAGAGAACAGCAAAAAAGGGCAAATCATACAATTACAGAACAAGCCAAACAGAAACCCAAATGAATATTCACAGAATTATATATGTAACATAATCTAAAGCATCGCACGCAAAAAGGTACAGCAATTTGAGAGAGTCAGAGAGAAATGAAACGGAACCTGTTTGACGGAATTGGCGATCTCGGGACCGATACCGTCACCGGGGAAAAGAGTGGCACGGATCGGAGTGGAGGCGGAAGAGAGGGATTTAGGGTTTGAGAGATAGCGGCTTCCGAGGGTTCGTCTGAGTATCTGAGAAGCCATATTTGACCGCACACACTCACTTTATGATTCTAATTCTCACACCCACAACAAATGTAACGCAGAAACTAAGGTGTGGAAGTGGCCAATTCTTTAGTTTACTTTTGTTTTCAGGTTCTTTCCGAACACGGTCAACTTAAAAGCTATGCTTGGGTCTACTAAAATATTTGTTGCAAATTATAAATCACATTAAAATTTTAATATAACTTTCTTTTTTTAAATATTTTTTTTTAATCTGTTTTTCAATATAATTAATGAATAACAATTTTCTGAAGTCATAAATTATTTTGTTTTTTTTAATAAAATAATAGTAGTAATTGTATTTTTTAATTTGTCTAAAATATCTAAAACATTTTATAATTTATGACGGAGAGAATAATTAGCAAGATATTTGTGCGGACGCATGAGTAAATTCATTTAATACAACATAAAATATATTTAAATACATGTATAAATTTGAAATGAAAGAAAAACGAAAGAAATTTTTTTTTTCATATTTGAAAATAAAGAATTTGATCTGACCTGATCAGAAGGGGATCGCTGACTGCCACACGTCGTCGACTTGCTGCCTGTTCACCGGTGTTGAAGAAGAGGAGGGGGTGTACCTGCAAGGCACTCTAATGCTAAAGTAAGTGTATGGGCAGAGTGATCACAAGTACAGAAAAAGGGTAAGAATCAAATTACCTGACCCTCTTGTGGAAGAGGGTATTTATAGAGAGACCCCAACGCTGGGCCAACTGTCACTTGTGTTGGGTTGGATTTCTAGGCCCAACCCAGGTGACTGTTAGGGCTCACGTGGCGTAGTGAAGACCAGGACGTGGTCTTCGCCCTAGTCCAACTGTCCCGTGATCTCCGGAAAGTGGGTTTGACCTGCTCTTTCGGAGGTGGGTCGTTGGTCGGTGACGTGTCCCCGCGGAGGGGGGCACGTGGAGAACGTGTGAAGGACACGTTATCCTGCCCGACAGGGAAGCAGGTTCTGCCCGCGGAGGGGTAGGTTCTACCCGCGGAGGGGGCAGTGTCTGGTCGACGGGGGAGTCTTGTGCTCGACACAGATGAGGAAGGTTCTGCCCGCGAAAGGGACATTACTGGCCTGCTAGGGACTTTGTGCTCGACGGTTGTGGCCCAAGCTGGATTGGGCTTGGCTGAATATTATTGGGCTGGGCATGTCCGGTCAAGCTGGGGCCCAGGCCAGAACAGGAGCCCTCCAAGTCGTAGCTCCGAGGGAGGGAGCGAGGACTTGCTGACATTATGTCGGGGAGGAGAGATTAACATGAGGAGAAACCCTCCAGCTCGCGTTCCGCGGGGACGTGAGTACGTGAGTCCTTTCTCGTCGTCGGGTGCCTGTGGTTGAGGACACGTGTTGGCGGGGAGATGTGAGGGGACGTGGCTGTCAGCCTTCGCCACGTGTCATGCGACGGGTGGCTGCTAGGGCGGCTACCCTAGGGTACTCGAGTGCCTAGCGACGCTTCGAGTCCCGTGCTGGGGTATAAGTAAGCGAGCCCCCGCTCATTCTCCACTTTTCTCCTTCTTGCTCTCAGACTCTCTGATCTGCCGCCTTCTCTACCGTCTGATATCTCTGTTGCAGCAGCCGTCTCGTACTCCGCCGCAAATCGAAATATAGTAAGTTTTTCTTCTCCTTTCTTTTGTTTTTCCCGTTCGTTTTAGGACCGTGGTCGGGGCGTGTTGAATGCCTCGAGGAGAGGTGTGGATCTCCGCCGCTGTAGGGGGCTTTCTAGGGTTTTACCGTGAGCGTTCCGAGGAAAAATGCCTATTCCGATGAATGCCCTGGGGACAGATGCTTGCTCCGATGAACGCCCCGGGGAGAGACGCTTATTCTGATGAACGCAACGGGGAGAGACGCTTATTCTGATGAGTGCCTCGAGGAGAGCGTGTAGATTAGGTTAGGCAGGCGTCCCGGGGAGGTGGTAGGATTTGGGTAGAGCCACCGAGGACGATGCTCGATTTGTCCTCGTCGCCCTTTCACTTGACTTGCGGTGGAAGGGTGAATTTGATCTTTGTCATCGAATTCATCGTTACCTTTTGCTTTTCAGGTGTTAATGACTACATTGGTCCCGGGGACAATGGTTGAGGACACTGAACCGGACGTTCTACACTTTGACGAGTGTGCTCTTCCCCTCGAGGAGTGGGTGGCTGAGGAGCCTCTGTCCATGCCTTCTTGTTTCGCTTCTGACCCAACGGGAGTCTATGCCACCGTGGAGGACCGTAGAGAAGGTGACCCTCAGAATTGGCAAGTTTATCGTCCTCGGGAAGGCCACCGAATATGCTCAAAGTACGGGAGGATGCGGTTCCCGATGTACGAATTCTATTTTAAAGAGGCTAGGCTCAGGCTGCCGTTCTCAGACTTCCACCTGGGCCTCTTCGACTGGTTGTGGCTGGCCCCTTCGCAACTGCACCCGAATGCCTTGGCTTTTATTCGGGCCTTCGAGGTCGTGTGCCGCTATCTCAAGATCAGCGTCACGCTGCCGCTATTCTTCTGTGTCTTCCACCTGCAGCGGCAGACGGTGGATGGTAGGCACGGATGGGTGTCGTTCAAGCAACCGAACAGGCTCTTCAAGACGTACATGGACTCTGTTCGGGATTTCAAAGGTCGTTTCTTCATCGTTAGCCCGATCACGCATGAGGGGGTCAATTCCTTTATACTCAGCAGGGGAGCGGATAGTGAACGACCAGCGGGAAGCCATCATGTTGCGGCGGGTGCACGTGGAGTGGTCCCCGGAACATTTCTCCCGGGGGACGGACCGGTATATAGTGTGTGCGGGGTCCCTCGACGAGGATGACATGGCCGACTATTTGAAGATAGTCGCATTCGTGCGCAGCTTGCCGCTATCAAAGCTGGTGACCCCGACGACCGGTATATCCTTGATAGCCAGGGGAATCTCCACGAGACAGCGAGGTTGATTAATACGAAAGCCCTGCTCGAGTGTTCCTCGGAGGCGGAGGCTCTTCGCTATCTAGGCGGTGGACGCTGCTTTCCTCTCTTGATTTGTTATTCTTCATCTGTTGCTGACCCATTCTCTTCGTTTTGCAGGGAACATGTCTTCTGTCGAGGAGCGGGTGAAGAAGTTGCACGCGTCGAAGGTCGCTGCTCTTCCGAAGACGCAGGTTGGCTAGCTGGTCGGGCAGGCTTCCGCTGATCAGGATGGTCGGGGTCCTCGTCTCCTCTAAGCAGTCAGTCGCCCACATCCTAGGGGGCCCCGAAGAGGCCCAGAGTTCAGGAGGTGGAGACTGTGGTCGACTTATCAGCGGACTCTACCGAGGAGGGTTACTCCATCGCGCCCTACCATCAGCACCCTGGTTATTTCCACGGGGCCAGGTCGCCCAATACTCCGACCGGGGAGGCGAAGGCGGTCCTAAGTGCGGACCGGGCTACTCGTAGGCAGGTCCTGACGAAGGATTTGGCTGCCTTGATGCAGACCTTCACCATGACGATGGTTCTGAGCGAGGAAAGTTGCTCGGCCGTCGAACTGTCTAAGCTGCAGGGGGATCTCGCTTTCACGCAATCTCGTTTGAACAAGGCCGTCGAGGATCTGGAGCTAAACCAGGGAAGGGTGACTCAACTTACCGAGGAGCTGGAGAAGAGTCAAGGGGAGACCGTCGGTGAGCGCAAGAGGGGGGATAGCGCTGAGGAGAGGTTGAAGGCCGCCGAGGAGGAAGTGCAAGCACTAAAGGCTCACATGGAGAAACTGGAGGGTGGTCTTCGTCCTGCTGACGATGAGACCGATGAAGACAGGCAGATGGTTACCCGGGCTGATCTGCTCGCCAGGATACGGGTGTTGGAAGGTGACTGTCTTGAGGCTTTCGCAGCGGGTTTCAATGGTGTTGTCGCGCAGCTTAAGGTGGTGAACTCTGGCGTCGCCCTGGTTGAGGATGGCACCGGGCCCTTCCACGAGATAATCGATGGTCGGGTGGTCGACCCAGCGCCGAGGAGGCTGGTCCCGATGTCCATCCCGTCGAGCCTGAAGCGGAGGAGGAAGGAGCATAGATTAGTTTCGAGCCTGCGTGCCAAATAATTTGTATAATTTTCTAAGTGTTTTCTTTACCGGGCCTGCGTGCCCTTCTTGGCGATGTAATATTAACTTTTGGGCTGGTGCTCGCTTTTATATGATATGCTTTTGGAAATTTGTTTAAGTGTGCACTTTGTTTTGTTTTTGCATGGTGTTATGCTCATTTTATTTCTGCGCTTTTGTATGCTCGAAATATATGTTTGTATGTTTAAAACGCATGTTTGTTATGCCTTTGGGCCCGTCTGGGGTGGTAGCTCGATGATAATTGTTTCGAGTAGTGTGGAGAACTGGCCGGTTGACCGGTTTTATTACCTGGGCGTTACGGGGGTAGTTTATCCCCGCGGCGTGAACGTCCCATCGCGAGCTGGGTGTCTTGCCGATTCTGGTACAGCAACGGAGAGTCTCGATCGAGGGGTTCTCCGTCGAGAAGAGCCTTCTGCCCGCGTACACAAAGGCAGGGCTTGCTGTTTTATTGGTCTCTAGAAGACGCGAGGAGGTGCGGTGGTACCATGTCTCCCCCTTGTGGTCGCGACGCCTGGGCGTCACGGGTAGTGTTTAACTGTAGTACCATTTCAGCTTCTCCGTGTTCCATGGTCGAGCTAGTTGTTGCCCGTGTAGGTTTTCGAGGTAATAGGCCTCGTGCTCCGTCTTGTCGCGAACACGATATGGGTCTTCCCAATTTGCGGCTAGTTTGCCTTCGTGGGAGTCCTTCTGGTTTCTTCGCAAGACTAAGTGGCTGATCTGAAACTCGCATTTCAGGACTCTGCTGTCGTGGTGAAGTGCTACCTGTTGTTTTAGTCGGGCTTCTCGAAGAGCTTCCCCCAACCGAGTTTCTTCGACTAGGTCGAGTTCCTCTCAGAGGGCGTCATCGTTGTCTTCGGCCTCGAGGGGAGCCTCGGTTCGTCTGGATGGCTCTCGTATCTCGACCGGGATCACCGCCTCGGTTCCGTATGTGATGCGGAATGGTGTTTCCCCCGT